AAAGTAGCTGAAAATCTTGCTAAGTAGGAGCCTCTTTGTCGTTTTCCTCATATAGCTTAGCAAATAACCGAAAGTTTAAAGAATTGTCCCATGGGAAAAGATTCCACTATTTATATTCCCATGATAATAGGTAAATGCTATTCTCGAACTTCTCAGAATAGACATTCCCATGAAAACGGTAATTTTACGTAGGGTAAACCCGGTAGAGATGGAGCACGTTTTTTTTTTAAGTTCGCATAAAAAATCAGATTTACAGTTTTTAAATGGGAATTACCTTTTATGTGATTATACTAGATAAAATAAAAGTAGAGGATACAAAAATACAACACTAATTTCAATTTTAATAAAAAAAATGTATTTTTCAAAATTACAGAAAAAACCATCTCACCCATTGTGTATGGGTGAGATGGCGCTCACACAAAATGTAACAAAATAACTAAATTCTCATATTTTGTCGCCTGCCACATCGCAAACAGTAGTTTGGAAAATTCGTGCAACCTTCATGGAGCCATCTGTGGCAAAAAACGCACTGCAACCAGTCTTCTTGGCTTGTAGTGGTTATGTAGATCTCCCCACAGCCAACACACTCAGTTTGGGCATCGTTGACATAGATGCTGCTGGGTGAATCGGTTTGTAAATCAACAGTTACGTCACAATCTGAAGAAGAAATACTGTAGTCTCTGAATTTGTTTGTGTTGCTTCTTTGTGATCTTGTTATTTTTCCTATCGTTCTTTTCATTTTGCGTCAACAGTTTATTTTTTAGTTCTGTTAGCGGTGTGTCGCTATCTGAAGAAGAGTCGCTGTAGTTTCTTACTTTCTCCGCTTGGCTGTTCCTAGATTTTTTTATATTTTTCGCATATTTTTTTTTTGTGGCACAATTTAATTTTGTTTTCTATTAGAGTTTTCTTTTTTGAAATATTTTCGGGCGATGTTAATATTTCAGCAAGCTGACGGCTGCGTTTGCATACCACATTCACTTTAGAAGTACTAGGGACTGGACAGATAGTGTCTAATATTTTTCCCGGGATTGTTTTCTCCTCTTCAGGGTTTTTGTCCAGAGTCTTGTTATTTTCAGGTTGGATAATATCTTTATAACTTGCTGGATTCTATAGGTTGTCATGGGTAAGGTTATTGTCTTTTTCAGGAACTGTGCGCTCACGGGTTGCTTGGTGATTAATGTCTTGGGCGGTTTCTCCGTGTGTTGCATCATGACTAAAGTTTTCATTCTGGTTCAGAAACGCGTAGTCTGGAATAACTTCTCTTCTGAACGGAATAATTCCGGTGACACGAAAAGATGATGTGGCATTGTTTACTGTAGCTGAATTTGACCACGCCTCTGCTAACAATTTGCCAAACTGGAATCTATTCAGTGCTCTTGTGGGATTCGTTCGAATAAAATTATTGCAGGCAGCATAGTAATAACTTTTAAATGCTTTAAAGAATCCACGATCTAGAGGCTGCAGGAACTGTGTCGTGTGGCTGGGAAGACACAATAAAGTGATATCGTTTGCTTCAGCGTACTCTAGAACCTCTAGTGAACTGCAGTGCGATGTATGACCATCTAAAATAAGAATCACCCTCCCTTGTGGTTTTCTAGGAACAAATTGTGTTTGTAGCCATGTCAAGAAAATGGAATTGTTAATATACGCTAATTTTTCAGACATATAAACCACGGATCCAGGGGATATCCCGTCTTCGTATTAATTTTATTGTGTTTTCCTTTAAATATGCAAGCAGGCGGTATAAATGTTTCTTCCCCGTTACAAGAACAGATTGCAGTGATTGTTTCCCCCTTTTCGCCTGAAGTTATCGCCGCTACGTTTTTAGATCCTTTTTCTGCAATAACATATTCAGGTCTATTGTTAAGTTGAAGTCCGGTTTCGTCCATGTTAAAGACGTTGCCAGGCTTATCGAAGAGACCATGTTCTTCCAAAGTATTCCCTAGTAGATCAAAATAGACATTGACATCTTGCTTGTTCATTCCTCGGACTCGAGCAAGTGATACACCTTCTGACTTTCTAACAGATAAGTCTGGGTTCCTCCGTAAAAATGATCTAAGCCAATCCTCTCCAGCCAATTTAGTATTTTTGTTAAAAGTATGTTTAATATTAAGCTGTTCAGCAAGTTGGTACACCATTCGACGAACAATTTTCCTTGTTGGAGCGAATCCTTGTTTTTGTAATTTTTTAATATGGCGGGCAATCTTTCTCTCATTTTCATCTCCTAGTACCGATGATGGGCCTAGACTTTTCTTTTTAAAATGACCTGTGGCCAGTCTTCGACGAAGTGTCGTACAAGGACCATCAAACTGTCTGGATGCTGCATTGATTCCCATATTTCCTGTATCGTCGAATGTACCATTTCTTTGGTCCATGTTGCCCTGGAGGAGTTTTCTTTTCATTTATAGTTAGTAGGCATCTAAAAAAAATAAAAAGTTTTGTATGCTAAGCTTCAATCTAATTCTTTCAGCACTCAACCCATCCTAACCCCCTATTTTTAATCAGATTTTTCATAAACTGTGCTGTCGTTCTAGTCAGCTTTATAGTAGAGCAGACTAAAATGTTGGTTGAACACTTTTTGTGTTCCATATTTACATATAATAATTATATTTCGACAAGAAATTCAGTTGGTCCCAATTATTGTCACAATATGTATTGTTTAATAATAATCTAACTACTAAAACTTTTTTTGAATTGTTAGTTTTTGTAACATATTTCTATGTTTTGATAACAAATTTTTTATGACATACCTAGTGTCTTTTACCTCCAACATGCCTCTATAAATAGTACGACTAACATGAGAGTTAAATAGTGTTATTTAACGTTTAACTTGTAAGTTTATTAAACATTGAACATAGCATCACCTTTTTTTAAATCAACTTTTATTGTGATATCACTATACATGTTATAGAATACCACTGAAAAGGTCTCGATGAGCCGATTTTAAAAATATAACCTTTATAAAACTGCACTACGTCTACATAGTTTACCTCTCAGATATATATCGGTAAATATTTAATTTAATCTTCATGATATAGTTACGTACCTAACATAGACACAACTATTAAGTTTTTTGAATTAATTTAGGCCAGTGGAATATTTATATTTTATATCGTCTTTAAAAAAACTGTAATGTAAATCTGACAGTGTTTATCAGTACCTCTGGCGTTTATAGATAGAGCATTTTTCTATAAGTTCAAGGGGCAACCTACAAAATAAACAATTATTCATATAAAATTGTACTACAGTCAAGAAATTATCCTTGTTAAAGGGTCGATCTTTTCACCTCTGAGTAAAGTTACATGTAAGTTTACTTGACAAATTAACAAACAATAGCATTATAGTTTAATCAGCAAGTAGTAACTTTCAAGTTGGTAAAAAAATGGCCCTCAATAAAGTATATAATAAAATTGTCATACTTTTTTAAAACTTCCTTTGTCTTTTGTTGGAAACAAAAAAAATTGATCAATGCATAATTGGGTATATTCTGTAGACTCAAACAAAAAAGAAAATAAACTAATTTGGAAATAAACATAACCTCAAAAATAATAGTAATTTTTTTACCTGACGTTTTTCGGTAACAATCGTTGAAATGACACACATTTTATTAAAGTCACAGTTTTATTTAAACTTAATTTTTAATACAACTCACAATTAAAATTGTCTCATGTTGATTTTTAGAATTTAACAGCTTGATTTTAAACGTTGAGAAGATAGAATAGGTAGATAACGAAATAAAAACTATTTTGTGATAAGGCAAGTGGAGGCACTTTGCGTCATATTTTGATTAATTTTAAGTTGATAATTTTATAATTGTAGATTGACAGAATGAAAATGTTTTTGTATCATTTAAATTAAATCACGCTATTTAAAAAAAAAATGGCATTAATTATCACCAAAACTGACTAGCTCGAGTTTGACATATGTCGTAAAAGAGTACTAGAAAAGTGAGGCACGTTTAGTACCGTCATTGCTTCTCTATATCTGATTTGAAAGATTTGTATGGCCCCGCCCTACTTTGTGATGTCACGGTGTGCGTTGCGCAAATTAGGCTGATTTAAGTTATTTTAAAACTTGCAAATAAAAAAAAAAATGTTTAAGAGACTACTTAAAAAAAACAATAAAACTTAAATTTGCACACCAGCCTATTTTTATCACACCTAGACACTAGATGTTTTTTAAGTATGCTCACGAACTTACTCATTGATAAACTTGGATATAGTCACTGTAGTATAGAAAATTTGTATTAGGTACCAATCGGCGTAAAAAACGAAAACAAAGAAAACTGAACACTAATAATTTTAGGTAACAACTTTTCCAAAGTAATTTCAAAAAATACTAAGAAAAATATTAAAACGTTTTTTGGTACTTAACCTGTTACTTTTACATAAACTGCAGAAATGTATGGTTACGCTATTAACGCGCATAGGTAAATAAGCACCTTCTAAATTCTTTTTCAATCACTTTATTTAACTATGTAATCTCTTGAAATAAGTTAGTAGATGAGTGTATTATCATTCAAGCTCCAACGGTAGGTTCACTATTGTGTATCGATATCTGCATTCAAGCAGAGTCGTTCGCAGTTATTACTTGAATGTGTGACTATTCAAAGAAAGTCGGCGTACATATAAAATCCGAAACTGCCCGCGTAGTTGCATATCACAGCTGGCAGGCGCTATATAAGGTATAGCGTGGGGTGTCATCTTTCAGAGGAAATATAAAGCCGTCGGTCCCGAATATGGATGTTGGACCACCTAAGGATTCGGCTAAGTTTCTGGCATTTGGGGGTAGCGTGCTCACCAGGGTCGCTGCTTAAACTTCGTAGTTAGAAATATAACCGGACGTTAAATAAATTAATTAAAAAAAAAAAAATGATAAAACTTCTGGGTATTACTTTAGATTTAGAGAATAATTAGAAATGTAAGAACCATGTGGAATTTTTAAACAAAAAACTTTTTTCTGTATGTTTTGCAGTCAAGTCAATATTATTTTTGTTCAAGGTGGTAACGATTAGTCAAATTCAGCAGGCTCTGGCCAGGCATAGCTATTACGAAGCATTCCAACTAGCATTGAGTGCAGAAAATTTGAATTACGTGATTTATGTTTGTGAACGTGTCGACACACAAACTTTGTTTACAGAAGATTGTGTGCTGCCTCAAAGTTGTCTGCTAGCTCTTATCCAACAACTTAGTATGGAGCTGAACAAGAACACGGAACTAAAGTTGAGGTAAGATATAATTCACACTTTCTTTTTTCAATAATTGCCCACGGGTAAAATCTAACTACTATTTTTCATAGATTGAAAGTAGATACATAGTTATTTTTATGACATCTCTTAAAATGGTTCTAATGGGCTTGGAAAATTTAAAAAAAGTATTATATTTTTTTTAAAAATATATACAACTTAATTTTACAAGTACAATGGCGTTTATTTCAAGTCGATAGGATTATTATTATCGAAATTTCCAAGCTTTCAAAATCCGGGGTTATTTTATATCGCTCGGGATCTACGTCATCAACGCCGATTGTGTAGGAGAGCGGCCGAAAAAATTGGCAAGCAAAAATGATTCATTTGGGATCCCTAAAAGTAGTTTGTCTATTGCCATTAACGTCCCCTTCAACATGCATGCTTTGTATTGATCATCATGTTCCAACTTTGTGTCAGAAGAACTGCATTCCCAATCAGTAGAATTTTCGGAAGAGGAAACTATGTGTGTTTAAATTTGATAGAAGTACTTGTTATGATAATAATTTATACAATATTTACTACTGGTTAATACTTTATAGTACAAATAATTATTTATTAGTTATTTCACCATGTGCATCTCCTTTTAACTTTTTTAACATTGACCTTATTTTCTTAATTATTGACATTTATAATGTCATTATAATCACTGATGTATGGATCACTGGATTACATATTTTGCCATAATTATAAGATCATTTTCTTTTCGAACAAAACAATAGTTTTTATCAAAACTTATATTAAAACCTACTTCTGTTATTTTTAAAAGAGAAAGCAAATTATTTTTTATTCCTTATGTATATAGAACATCTTTCAATTTTAAATTATTTATTTTTCTGGCCACTTCAACTTTAAATAAAACATCAACTTTAACTTCAATATTCATGTGCTGACCATTTGCAACAGTAATTTTATTTGATTTTGCATATTCAATTTCTTTTTAATATTTAAGGTCATTTGTTAGTTATAATTTACGTTTAATTACCTTTGTAAATCAATTATATTTAATTTTGACCATCACTTAGATATTTTATACCAAACATTTACTTCCCTTAATTCAATAAAAAAAAAACAAATGAGAAGAGACCATAGTTTTCTCAGTCGTAAATTCAGGCTTTTCTAAATAAAAATAAATTCTGTTTTTTACGAGGCCCTTATATGAGATATAAATCAAACTTTTAAATAATTATGTTTTAAAATTTCCAACAATTAAAAAATTATTTAATATTAACAATATGAAATTCCAGCAACACAAAAGGAATTACTAAACACATTGAATAATTCTAAATTGATTTTCAAAAATTAAACTTATAACAAAACAAAAAGAAGCACTATAAATTCTACTAAGATTTTTCACTAACCGCTAATTGCAGCCAATTTAATTTAACAATATAATAATAAACGGATTATTGAGAAAAAATTAAATCTTCCACTTCGCGAAATTTCCCTTTCTCAGCAATGTTACGTGCGGCGACAATTAAACTTTAAATTATTTTAATACCAATTCAGTTCATTTATACAGGATATCACCCAGTCAAAATAACATTTTTAAAAGGTGAAATTTAATATGTTACACCCCCGATAACTAATTTAGGAAAATTTGATGCTGAAAGTAGAAAATTTTTCGACTGTGTATGTCATTAAAAAATCTGTACAAGTATTGAAGAAAAAATAATAAGAAATTACCAATATTAACATATAAAGTGACTGAAATTGAGAAATGATTAAGTTACAAAAATATTGTCATGGAATTCCTAATTCGACCCTGTGTACGCACGCAACCTTCACATGGCAACCGACTCGTGATCGAAGCAACGCTGACGTGTGAAAACAGCCGGCCCGCGTCTCGAATATACAAGAATACGACGGAATGCCTGCCGCTGATGTACTAGAAATAGCTGGAACGGCGGGGAGTGCCGTTTAGTCATACAAATGGAATGTTCGAGAGCCTCTCGAATCTTCCAGTAGCGGAGTTGGATTAACATAAATAGCCGACGTATTGGCGCCCAGTTCAGTTGATTATAGACAGTTGAATATAGAACATTCTATTGAAAAGTTAAAGTGTAAGAAATACATTAGAATTGTTAACTAACAAGTGTCCAAGTATTATATAAATTAAATAGTACGTCTGAAATAAATTGTAAATAGTGTGTTTTAAATAAATAAATTTTAAATAAATTAGTCTTTTGTCACAATATTGAAATTTACCTAAGTAAGTTGTACTGGTACATACGGCAAAAATGCAAGGGATTATTCCTTGGACTATTCTAAGAATATATTGTTAATTTGTGAAAACCCACTTTGTTTCGAAGATACAGGATGAACAAAATTTTGACAGTAACATTTTATTATCAAAAAGTACATGTAAAGTTGCTAAGTCTATAATAAATGTTAAAAATCCTCCAGTTTGAATAGAGGCATTTAATCTTCTCATCATTGACTGCCGACATTTTTCAAACATACCCTGTATTTTCCAAACAAAGCGGATTTTCACAAATCATCAAATAACAAAATATTCTTAGAATAGTTCTTGCATTTTTGCCGCATGTTTACCAAACATCCTGTATATAGATTAATAAGTTTTTACTATTATCATTGCCTGTGACAAAAGACTAAAATCAATGCCACACACACGCAGACGCGCGTACACCCTATAATAAATAACTATAATCATTATCACTCGTCTTTTCTATAGTGGTACATGTCAATTTGAGGTTAAATAAAATAAGATATTTTTTAAAATTTTTAATTTTATTTCTAAAAATATCGCGACTAACAAAATATAATTTTAAATTTTGATTTCAGTTACATCCGAGCAGCGTTTTTATCTCTATCTGCAGACTGTCAACCCACAAAACAATTTGTCCCTAAGGTGCTAAAAGATTTGTTGAAGCAACTAAATAGTTTTCTTCAGTCCAACCCGCCACTGAAGCATCTAAAAGATGCAAGACTCATTAAAATGGCTGTGGAAAGTATGATAGTTTAAAACTTATCCATAAAATGAAATATTTTATTATTGTTAACAGAACCAGTTTTTTGTTTTGTATTATTAGTAATAAGGATGATAATGTGCTCTGCAATGTTTAATTATTATAGACTTGCAGGTTTATTTTTTTATAAAAGTTTCTTCAATGTAATTATAAGTTAATATTAAAGTTCTTGTTAAGACTGTGTTATTATAAAATTCATTTTTTGCAATAAATCGTCTGTATAAAATGCGTTTTCTATATGTATACATGGCGAGGCATTAAAAACGACACAAGGTCGATTTTTATGCCGCGTCATTCTCCTCCCATTTGTCTATCTAACCTGTTATGGCTCCAAAGATTCTAGCTAGATTAGTATTAGTCGAAACAGCAAAGTTCGTAAACAATAAACAACTTGCTTTTCATTTTATTTAAGTATACAGGGTGTCCCAAAATTTCTGGCATACAGAGCTACCACGTGTAGTATAGGTCAAAATAAGTCGATTAGACCCAATTTATTTATATACCAAAATGTCCCGTTTTTGTAATCTGAGAAATAAGTGAAACAAATTGAATGAAATTTGACAAAAGTGCATTTTAGAGGATTACTCTCCTTTCGGTAATTAAAGAACCCCAAAGAAATTGTAGACGGGCTAAAACCACCCTCACACCCTGACATGTTTTTTAGAACTTGCCCCTTAATTTTCGTCGAAACATGGTCTTCATGTACGACGGTGCACTATCTCATTTTGCACTTGCAGTAAGAGAATATCTAAACGAACAATTTCCTGGTAGATGGATTGGTAGGGTCAAGAAGCACCTATTCAGTGGCCTCCGCGGTCTCCAGATTTAATTCCGTGCAACTTATTTATATGGGCAGCATTAAAAGTTGTTTCATCTACATCTTTTTGTTCATTGGCATACTTTTTACAAGTGTCTCAAGAGTGTACTTATAGACAAGATACCTTCATATATCTAACAATATTTTTTCCAGTAAGTTACATGTTTGATAATCACTATCGACGAGAGGCACTACAGGTGCATTGGCAAGTGAATAATCAGTTTGTTCCTTTTATTCTTCAGGTAAAGCAACAATTTTTAATAACATACTGACTCCCTTTCACAATTTTCTGCTCCCGAATTAAATAAATTTGAACAATATAATTTTCTGTAACTTCTTATAAATTTCCATTAGATTGTCTTACTTACCCAAAAAAAAAAATTCCAAGAAATCTTGGTTAATTCTTCTTGTAAATAAATGCGGAAATCCTTCTAATTTTAAAGTATTCCATAATTCCAGGATACCTTTTATGCTAATTTTCCAACCCTTAATGCTGGGTAATTTATTTGTAACGTCTTTCCGTTTTTGATTTAAAATATTGAAAACGTTCCTCCAAAAATGATAACTGAAAAGCCGACCCTTTAAAAGGACAATTAAACTGCTTTGCTAATTTAAAAGAAGCATAATTAAGAAGTTCAAATAGCTTTTCCATCTTTTCAATGAAATCAAAAGTGTATGTTGCTTCTGCAGGAAGGAAACTTAATATACAATTTCATCCCTACAGAAACAGTTTCACTCAAAAGTTGAGTTGCCAATTTCACCTTCATCTTCTCATAATTTGAAGGGTACAAATGAGACTGAGTAAGTTTAGGGGCACATCTTGTCAAATACTGTTTATCAAGATTAAAAAATTGTACAAGGTATTCAAATGAAGTGGAATTTGTGTTGAATACAACATTTTTTTGTAAATTATTCCTAGTTGATTTTACTAAATGTGGAGTATCAAAACAGTAAACTTTTTTATTGTTAACAAAAAAATACCTTTAAAAAATCTATACTATCAAACAAATGTTCACTCCAATTCCCCCGCCCTTAAAATGTAAAAATCCAAAACCTTGTATTACGTCATTATTTATGATGAGCAGCTACCTTTAAAAAAATTCGATGCTCCCATCAAACTTTTTCCCCGTTTCCCCCCCCCCCCCCCCCCCCAACCCTTAAAATTTGATGTTTATAAAATCCGTTCTTAGTCGAGAAAGTGATTCTAAAGACGTTCATTTGCATTCCAGTTTATGGTAAAGGGAAAATAATGAAACTGCTTAACGTAGATTATTAATTCTTCTCGTCCAAAGCGAGATTTGAGAGCTTCCACAGCCTTAGGGTAGTTTTTTGCAGTAGGTGGAAAGCGTTTCACAACTCTAGCTCTAGATCCAGGTAACGTTGACTGAATTAAAATACTGAAATTTCTCCTCTTTATGAATGGTCTGGTCTTAAATAATCCCCAAAAAATAAAGCCAATCGCCGAGATCACCACCAAATTTCTTTAATTCAATCTTGGGAACTTATAACTCTGGGAGGTAAGTACATACTATTTTTGACACACCCAGCATCGTCGGGGAGTATAGGTGAAGACAAGACAATATTTAACTTGGTAAAAATACAGTTTATAGTGAATCCGCGGATTATTAAAATTTTTCATTTATGTGGAAGTGGAGGCATAAGCTTAAAAATTAAAAAAAATCTTGGCGGTAACTTCTTTTAAAGAATTTAATCATTTTTAAAATTTTCATTTTTCCATTTGTATGTGTTCTTTCATATTTGCTAATGTAGGTGCTCACACGCTTTTGTACTTACTAGTTCACTGCGATTGTTAATTTTATCCTCTTAGTTAGGAGGAAGAATATTGATTTATTATTAAGTGGCCGTGGACAAATATATTTTTTATAGATTTACAACACTTTTGCAATGCAAAATTGGTCATAGACAATATACAATCATTTGCATTAAACTTGGAGCGTTGCAAATTTTCGTGCAGGAAGGCATATAAATGGCTCTGTAGAATTTGCAAAACTTTTCTAATTTTTTTGCAACTGCAAAAATGCGATTTGTCAATTGTTCTTAATTTTGGAAGGTCACGGACCTTGTCAGTGGTTACAAATTTACCAGGTTGTTAAAAAAAAGTAATATTAAAATTTGCATAGAGGCAAATAAACAATTGTTTTTGGCATTTTTTGACCCAGCTATTACAATGATCTTCTCCGCCAGTCAGGAAACACTAAATAAAACTAAAGTGATCATGCCAAATTCGCACATCTAACAGATGCACAGACATTAATAAATTAATTTCTTGAAATATAGGATACCTAACTGTTGTATCCATCGTACTGGACACCAAGACTAAAAGAGATGTATTACTAATTAAATTAATTTTCAAATGAAGTGTCACTTTACAATAGTTTTTTCGCTCACTAAAATCAGATCTTATGACAAATTCCCTATTAAAATCATCTTTTCAATGAGTACTTGTCACTTTCCCTATTTAATTTGTAGTAGTTATAGTGACAGATGGGAGGGGAATAAGGTACGAGTGTTGAGGATATATTAGAAAGGTGTCTCCCTTTGGAATAAAAATCAACCTGTCGGTTCAAGTTATTTAGTGCTTCACCCTGCATGTGGCATTTACAGAGGCTTTTCAATTCATTTTAGCTAGGTGTTAATCAGAACAACACTACTTTTTTTAGGAAGGAAATAATACTTAATAAGAATTAAAGAAAAATATTTATTTATCCTTTTTGGATTTTTCCTTATTAGCAGCTAATACTTCTCCAGGTGCAGGATATGGTCTTTGTTGATACAGAACACCAGATGCAGTGTTATCAGCCCTTCCTTTATTAGTTTCTAATCCTTCACTCCAACCTCCCTGTGGCACATCTGAGTAAGCAGCAGGATCCATTGGGTCAATTTCATCTTTACGTTTTTTGTACCGTTCCTCTCTCCGTTTTCTTCTATCATCCCTTTCTTTGTCTCGCTCTCTACCTCTATCTCTTTCCCTGTCTCGCCTGTCAGAATGTTTGCTTCTGTAAGGCCTCTCTTCATCATCTGAAGATCTGTCTCTATCTCGATCCCTTTCTCGTTCTTTTGTCCTATCAACTTCCTTTTCTTTTTCTAAACGTCCCTCTCTTTCTTTCATTTTTAATCGATTTTCACGAAGTTTTGCAGCACTCTGACATTTTAAAGATTTGGGATGTTTAGGTGGTAGCCAAGAGACTAGGTCATTTTCCATGTTCCAGTAATAATATCTACCACTGAAAGAGAACACATTTGATTAATCTTCAATACATTAATTTAATTATTGTAGATGTCTATCAAAAAATCTGTTTTGTTAATGTAAATAATAATAAATTCCTAGGCATACACATTAATCAGGCTTTAAAATTTCAAAATAATATTATTAATTTAGGTAAAAAAATGGCATCTGGATGTTTTGCAGTAATAATAGTAGCACCATAATCTTAATTTTTAAACTACCAAAGATGTTTATTTTGCTGTCATTGAATCCAATCTAAGATAAGGAATTTTTGTGGTTCATGCTCTCAAGAACTGTTTCATATAATCTTTAGGCTACAAAAGAGAACTGTCAGATTTATGTGTAAAGTTTGCATATTTCACAACGGTGGGCGGTTTTCAATTTCATATATTTACTTTTCAGCATCAAAATTTATTTTGTAATTGTTCCTGCACATCATGAAGTCAAACATAAAAAAATATAACGTACTCTCGAAAATATTGTAATCACTTAAATCCGAGTGAACTTGCGTTGTCGTGAGTAGTCTGTGATCTGTGAGTAGTCTTGTAAGCCTTTGTTTCTTCAACATTTAAATGAAAAAAAAAAATGTTATTACTAATTTTATTTTGTTGCAAGTGCAATATGGAGATATTTAGGTCAATGTTATGTGGTGCATTGGATTACTAATAAAATTAGCTTTCAAATGAAGTGTCACACACTTTACAAAACGTAAGTTTTTATCCAGCTAGAGGGCGTTAAAATGAAAAGTAACACCAAGAACAGTCATGTTCCTGAATTTCCCATAAAATTACCTTTTCTATGGTACATGGTACTTTCTCTATTTAAATTGTACTAGCGAGAGTGACGGAGGGAAGAAAAATGACATATTTACAGATAAGGATATTATAGAAAAGTGCATCTTTTGAAATAAAAATCGACCTGTTTTTGCTATCTACTTAAAGATATTCTGGGATACGACCAGTCTCCACCCTTAATGAATCACCCTATACAATACCAGCTGAAGTCACTACTTGGGAAAATACATGACACAATTGAAATAACTCTAGCACGTTATTACACACCCACAAGGGCGGATTTAGCTTTTTCTTATGGGAGGGGTAAAATTTACCAAGATTACAGTTCATCAAATTTCTAGAGGCTTTCGACGGCTAGACAGAGAAAGCACTACTGACAGGCATCCCGACGGATTTACGCAATGAAAGTACACTCTGCGCATCAAGTATTTCACTATTGCATTCAGACGTAAATGTCAGATGTAAATTTCGCTAAAACATTTCTTTTATTTTCGTTTGTGTTTTTTGCTCATTACAGTTTAATAGAACCTAAGTATGGAGTTTAATAGCAAATTAAGAGGCCGCGTGATTAACAGTCAATCTCGCGAAATAATAGCCAATGTTATAGAGTTTATGAGAAGAGAAGGAAACTTTAATTCACCTTCAATACCATTTAAAAATGTAAATGATCGTGTTGCTGCAGCCACAGGAGTATCTAAAAACACTGTCGTCCGCATTTCTGGAGAGAAAAAAAGAATCGATAACCGTGAGATATCACCAAGAAAAACCATTAAAAAACCAAAAACAGTTAATGATATAGATGAAGCTGCACAATAATCAAATTTTATTTTTTTATTATTAGATAGCTATTTTTGTTTCTGAGTTGTGTTCATTTACAGGCTCAATTTTTTTCCGTTTCTCCTTTTTGATTTTATATGGGGTTTCAAGTTGTTTTTGACTTATTTCGACGTAAATCACAACAACACACTTTTTTAATAAAGCAAACAAGTGTTAAGAGGTATATGTACGTGTAAACTACAATTACAAAAAATTGATATGAAACCCATGAAACCACCAACAAAAATGTAAAGCTAGCTTCCGTACTAGAACATGGTGTCATTCGTCGAGATAATTTATCGTTTTGTTTAATAGATCAAGAAATGTAAATATTCCCCTGTTATTTTTTATAATAGTATAGTTTATTATTTTGTAGAAAAACAAAATTTCGAAAATTTTAGTAATGTTTCAGAAACAACCGTTATTAATAATAGGTACCATTTTCCTTAATAAGGTAGAAATAAAATATAAACTATTTCCACGATTTACAAAGGCCTACAAAAAAATTATAGGTATTTTCCGCTATCCTATAAAATTTATATTTTCTGACTCAATTTCAAAAGGTTGAAGGAATTCCAAAACACCTTTTATGGCATAATAATTATTTTCAATTCTACATACTATCTTTAGCTGCTTTTAAAAACGTTCTAAGAAAGTCCAATCAGACCAATTTAATCCCTAAACTATTCCACACTTTTAAAAAACTATTTAAAATAACTTGTTTAGCAGACTGTACAATAGCTATCTTAGTCACACGTAGCGCGTTCTCTGTCTGGGCGTCGAACACCTCTAGAAATTTGATGAACTGTACATGTTCAAAATAAAATTTTATTAATATTAAGTTTTAATCACAAAAATACTAGGACAGTACCTAGAACTAAAAATAGTTAAAACAAAAAACACTTTTAAACTGTTACTAGGTATTAAAAGTCTAGTCAAATAAGGAAGCTGTATACACTTGTCTTTTAATAAAAAAATAATTTAAGGTGCTGCAAAATAATAAACGTGTATTTCTATACATATTTAACAGAACCTACCTTACCCACCTAAGCCAAAAAGGTTATTTCAGTTGAAGTGAGTTTCGAAAAAAAGCATATTTTCTAAGTTTTTTTTGCGTTCCCTCAAGTTGAAAAAATAATTTAGGTACTGCTGGATTACTTTAATTATTTTTTGTTTTTGAATATCTTGTGTCGTACAGGGATGTGCAGTCATTTGGCTTAGTATTAATGTCATACACCTAACTCTTTTTTTTATGTTTTTCAAGCTATCTGGTGCGTTAAAAATAAAAAAAAAATTTTTTTGAGATACCGCTTTTTGTCTTAGGACAGACTACAAAGTCAGCCTACCTTTTTATAAGTTTTATAGGTTTTTTTATAAATTATAATCATGGGGGGGGTAATTACCCCCAGTACACCCCCCCCCCCCGTAAATCTGTCCTTGCACACCCACCATAACAGTATAACTAATCAGGAAGGTACTAGAAATTACAGGATTGAGAACTGCAAGAAAGAACTGAAATTCAAACTAAATGTTCATGTCGCCATGGCAAATAATAATAGCCGTCCCTTCCCCTACACAAGTCATTCAGTCGACTTCAGGGGTTGAAATTCACTCGTAAGGGGGTGAATTAGGGAGAGTATTATTATTATTTCATTTTCAATTTTATGACATATTAGTGATCTAGGGTTAAGAGGTTGGCCACCAACTATTTTAAAAGTAGAAATCACTTCTATGTGTCTTAAAACAAGTTTTTAAAATAACGTACATTCCTTTATCAAAAACTTCCGTCCAGTTCATAGGTAAAGGATATTTGCTTAATAATTTCTGCATGTTTTTGTAGTATTTTGGATCTGGTGTGGATACTCCTTTCCAGTGAGTTTCGCACCAAACATTGCATTCATGATAAATATTGGATTTGTTAGGACAAATTGAAAATCCTTTAAAGTCTTGCTTTTTTGAAACATGTTCTGTAGGTTTTTGCTTTCCTGTAAAATAATAATTGGTTATTTATTGTATACCATACAAGAAAAGATAAAATGTGTAGAGGAGACAAAAAAACATGAAATGATTGGAGAATTAATTGTTATACATATAAAGATAAAAGCTTACCTGTAACAATGCCCCTTTTATTTAGCTTAGCTAACAAAGCTGCAGGTAGCGGCATTGCTTCAAAATTGTAAAGATCGATATTAGAAATAAGTTTGCTTTTATTATTTTTGGAAAGTTTACAAAAAAATGTTTAACTTTTGAGGTTAGATTTTGTGATAAACAGGATAACCAACTTTTTCAAATATTAAGTGCAATCTTGCCAAATAATGTCGATTTATGACGTCATCACAGAACCTCGCACACAAAAATGTATTTCTATTATTTTGGAACATTTATGTAATACAATAAAAGCAAATAAATAATAAAAAAAACGCCTAAATTATTATCCAGGTTTTTTCTCATTTGTTGACATTTCGTTTCCCATATTTTGATTTTTAATATGCGATCATTTTGCATATTTCACAACGGTGGGCGGTTTTCAATTTCATATATTTACTTTTCGGCATCAAAATTTATTTTGTAATTGTTCCTGCACATCACGAAGTCAAACATAAAAATATAACGTACTCTCGAAAATATTCTAATCACTTAAATCCGAGTGAACTTGCGTTGTCGTGAGTAGTCTGTGATCTATGAGTAGTCTCCGCGTCCGGTGCTGGCGTCCGCTCATCCGCGCGGTTACGCCGATGTCAGTGCGTTGTGTACATATTCCTATAAACCAGTATTTCTCAAACTTTTTTGGCGACGGAACCCTTTTGAAAAGCGAATATTTGACGGAACCCTATTTTACTTTGCAACCCCGGCGCATTCTAAAAAAGGTCCTCAAGCAAAATCAGATCCTTTCTTGATTAAAAAAAAAGTTCCCCAAACCAGATCCCTTTTGTAGCAAAGGCGAACTTCCTCATAGTAATTTTTTTATTGTGACTAATAATTTTCTAGCTGACAATTTTATTAATTTTCAAAAGCCCGCAATTACCATCGCGTAACAATCCTAAGGCAATTCCGAATAACTTGTCGACGCCAACTATGCAGAACAAAAAAAAAACATAATATGTCAAATCATGGAATCATGGTAATATTGGTCATAAAATATATGATTGTTCTTTCGAGTATATTCTTTATATGTACCTCCGCCCCTCTCTGTATCTGTAACGTGTGGAGGGTGGGTTAACTCACGGCACTTAGGCCTTACCATGCCCATTGTGCATCTTCTTAAGTAGGCACCTCCTAGCTCGTGAGTCAGAGCCTACAGATTTAATGTAGTCGACAACGTCGCCAAATAAGGTGCTACTCTTATATTGGCCGGTGTTAGCCAATTCTCGCCGAATAATACAAATCTTATAATAAATGAGAGCATCGGGCATTCGTAGAGGATATCCTCGATGGTCCCATCTTCGCAGAGCGGGAAGCATGTTAAAATCGGGACTAGTGGTTTAAAATCGGAACTGTCCCGCCTAAATCGAGAAAAATATTTTCATTTATTGACAAAAAAATAAAAAAATCCCTCTATGCTCTATGGATGTTAGACGTTTGGCTTTAATGTGAATAAATAATAAAAAGGAGCTATTACTTTAAATTATCCACCTTATTTTAGTAAAATGTGTAGTGTGTTCAGTGCTACAAGTCATTTATAAATTAAAATATATTAGCAAATTGATCAGCATCCCTTGTATAACCCAACAAATATACAAACATTAGGATGTTTTACCTCATTAAAAATAAAATAAAAAAATGTGATAGCATAAGACATCATAACAATAACATTTTATTTTTTAATGACCAATATAAACATAATTTTTATATTATTTGTTATTTTGCCATAGTATATTTTTAATTATATCAACTGTTTGATTATTCTATGTAATAGAAGTTTCGGTCTAAAATAACAGTTATGTTAAACCATGATATATTAAATGAAATTTATAAACTTTGTTGATCTATAAAATACTATCTTTTACTTGCACATTTTTATTCCTTGAAACTTATTTTATCAATAAGTGGAATTCTCGGTGGAATTACTAAAAATTAGTTTTTATGACCTTAATTGTAGGAATATGATGAGTGTAGCATAGGCAACCAGTATCACACATGTGTGTATATCATGTTGCCTATATCTTAATTATTAGAGTGAGATGTATGCGCAGGTCAGCGCCACTGCAATGGAGGTCCTTCGTTGTTGTGGAGGTCATGTCATGCGGTCTCGCTGCTGTTAAGACATATTTGTTGTATCGATTGGAACAAACTCAGTTTGCTACGTTATTATCGTGTTTTATTACAATTTTATATTATTTCTTACGTAATCATCCATGTTATAACAATTAATAAATATTGCTAACATTTTCTAAAAAAAAAATAAAAATGTAGATTTGGGTTTCATTCAGAAAAAGTCCGTATCTGGCGGATCGGCCATATTGGATTGACAACATCCACGCCAAGTGATAGCGTTTTGAATGTTTGAAAAATATACTTATAGCGTTTCCTACATTCTACCTCCATAAGGCCCGTAATTATAAACAAAACTCAGATGAGTCGGACTCATAAGCTTTGTCCCAACATCTCACAAAACCGTAATATTACGGTCATTGTCATGCGCAGTAAATAAAAACCGTTCGACTTTGGGCCATGGAGGATGGATAATCTTTGGGCTTTATTGATAGGTTTTTATTTACTGCGCATGACGATGACCTTAATATTACGGTTTTGTGAAATGTTGGGACAAAGCTATTGATAAACTAATATGTTAATTTATCTATGGTCGGACTTGGGTAAGTCGTCCTTGAACGAAAATCGAAGTTCGGTTATATCGCGTGAATTTTGAGATGGGTAGTAACAAATCCGTAAATATACATAACAGTTACATATTTTCTAATATCCATCTCTAAATTTCAGTTTAACACCAGAACCACCTAGAACTTCAGAGACGTTGTAAACGAACTTCGATTTTAGTTCAAGGACGACTTACCCAAGTCCGACTCAGGTAAGTTCTGTTTATAAATACGGGCCTTTTGTTCAGGGTTAAATAAATGTTGAAGTATGCACAGTAGTTTAAATATACAATAGTTTTCATGGCTCCTGTTATGTTGAGATATGCTGTTCTTTGAATTTGTTCTAGTTTGCGGATAGCTGTCAATTTTTGGCTTTTCGGTACCCAGACAGCTGCACCATGTGCTAACATATAGGTCTATGATGGCTGTGTAAGTCCAAGGCGACTCTGGGGGAGAAACCACATGTGCGTCCCATGGTTCGGCGGCATTGTTCATAAGCAATGTATGCTCTTTTTACTGTTATCTAAGTGGGAGTTCCATGTTAGCTTGTTGTCAAAGGTGAGACCTAGGTAGGTACATCACTTCTTTGCAAAGTTTAGCTTTGTGTTTAGGAGTTCTGGAGGTTTTAATTCCATTTTCATCCTTTTACTTGCGAAAAGGACTATTTTTGTCTTCTTGGGATTGATAAGACACTGTTCTATAATTTTGAGAGCTACTTGCATTTTCGCAGAGTATGTTCTCAAAATTCCCCGTTTGCAAAATGACCAGGGGGGCTATTTTCAAAGTATGGGAGCACTCATTTCTCTCAAGATTCTCATCAGAAATGTCATACGTCAATGTGGAAACGCAGTTTTTAAAGGCCTCGAGGATTAAAATTCGTAGGAGGATATTAATTATCTCTAAATAAACCGTGAGAAACAATCAGTGAGTTCACCCTGGCCCTTAGGACCCTAAAAATTACTGTTTTACGTTGACGTATGACATTTCTCTCGAGAGAAATGAATTCTCTCGACTTTGAAAATAGCCCCCCCAGGAAAAATTTAAATGGCATGGGGAAGTGATATATCATTTGAAAGGGGGTTTTATTCTCTATTCAACCGTGCAAAAATTTTTGAAATTTGCTTCATTACGTGTTGAATTATTAATGTTTAAAAATAACAAAAACAATGCAAAAACATCAATAAAAACGTGCAGTTAATATCCAAGCATAATGGCAAAAAGTCTTACTTTACGTCTGAACCAAAATCGATATGCAGGGCCGAATTTTAATTCTAAGGATGAGTGCGCTACGTTAATTTTCGTTATTCTGAAACAATAATTAGTCGAGAATTAATAAAGCAAATTTAAAAATTTTTTTCACGGTTGAATAGAGAATAAAACCCCCTTTCAAATGAGCTATCACTCACCACCCCATGCCATTTAAATTTTTCGAAAGGGTTGCTCCCCTCCAGTAGGGGATGAAATTAAGGGTAAACTATTCATACAAAAATATACATTGTACAAATAAAAAATCGACGTGTCTCGGCGATTTTCCTATTAAACCTCCAGTAGTAACGAGTTAGATAGGAGGAGGGGTAAGACTTATGATGCTCACTGTATGTATAGGCATATGTGTATAAATTTGCTGCTAAAAATAACCACAGAATAATAATAATCATTGTTTAATCCGAGAATATTTTGAAATATATTTATTTTAAATTAATTTTAAACTTGAACGATGAGTTATTATGTTAAAAAAGGCTCTATGTACAGAGTGTCTCAAAAAGTTTTATATACATAGGAAAAATGTATTTAACATTCCACAAAAAAGTGTTCTGCATCACTTAGAAATCCATAATCAAGTGTCAGATTTATAAAATATTAGTTGGGGTACCTAGAAAAGAAAAAAACAATTATTTATAATAATTAAGAATAAAGTACTTTTAAATTTCAATACAAAACAAAATATTAAATTAAATGAAAAATAAAATGTTTATTAATATAAGTAATTTCAAATGTATCAAAAAAAAAAAAACAATAAAATACTTGAAAAAACAGAAAACAATCACAGTAGTATATACTACCTACAACTGAAAAAATGATAAGAATTAAAAAATATGGTCAAATTTAAATCCGTGCGCTTTTTTTTGTGATTTCGATTAACTTTATTCAAGAGGCCGTACATCACCTCGGGGAGTTGTTTAATAGATACAATAGATTCCTTCCCACAGGTATTACGTACTAGAGCAGGCCTGCACAATTCAGATTTTCAAAGGGCCAGATTTGAAAAACCGTAATTGTACGAGGGCCGCCAAGAGAAAGGCCTGCGTCTACAATGGTCGGTTGCGGGCCGCATCCGGCCCGCGGGCCATATTGTGCACCCCTGTACTAGAGCATAATTAAGATTTACTTCATTACCTAAACTTCTTCTAAAAAAGGATCGTACTTAGTGTGACGAACGTTTTTCTTCAATTGAACAATCTCAGAAGGGGTTAGCCATGAAGGTAAAGACGTTCCGTGTGTGGCTCTTCGATCATATGTCTCTAAACATGCCTTCGTGGGGAGTATAATTGGTTGAAGTACAGAGAAGAGACCTAATGGGATGAAGAACATCTGGTAACATTGATTTCCATTGAAACGTTTCTAACTTCTTCGATTTTAATGCCAGATTAATGGACTTCCAATTATGCCATTGTAACGTTCAACTTGACCATTACCTAGTTGAAATATTATTACTGTGAAGAAAGCTGATAAGTTCTTTCGACATAAAGGAAGGGCCTTGATCTGAATGAATATAAGCAGGTAATCCGAAAAGAGAAAATAACTCGGAAAGACATTTAATGACTGTAGAAGAATGCATGTTAGAAAACAAGGAAAAGCAAAAGGAAACTGTAAATAAAAATATATGTATTCGGAGTGTTGGTAGGCACTGTTCCTTTAAAGCTGTATTTAAGCGTTCAAAACACTTGTAGCTTTTATTAAATGAACATCAGCATTTTTAAAAAATCTTGCCTTGATTTCTTTGGATATAAGTCAATGGTTGTTGTGGTATTAGACAAAGGAGTAGTTGCTTTCCTGAGGGAAATGGCCGCTCGTATTATTTTGTTATACATGCTTTGGAGATTTTGATTTTCTTATATTTTAAAACTTAAATCTTTGCTCTCTGGTTGTTTTTGTATGTTTTAAGAGGAAGTAAAATACCCTTAAAAAATACTTGATTTATATTTCTCAAGCAAATTCTATATTAATTTTTGTTCTTAATTTTTTTTTTAATTTTAAATTATATGCCAAGATAAAAATATATATTTTTTTATTTATGCCCTATTTTAAAAAACTGTCTTCGGAAAGATCTAGATAATGACAACCATTCTTAAATTTTCAAATTTTTATTTTTTATAATGTCATTTTCTAGATCTTTTCGAAACCAGTTTTTAAAAAAGGGCATATTTGAAAAAAAAAAAAAATGCAAATCAGCTAAAATTAAAAAAAAAAAATAAGAATAAAAATTAATATACAATTTCGTATAAAACGTGTAAAAAAATCATTTAAATCGCTTGAGAAATAAAAATCAAGTAAAAAATAATAAGCCATTTCAAAAAAGAAAATACAAGTCTTTCGTCAAACCAAAAAGTAAGGTTATTGCTTGAATGAATAATAATTTAAGGGCTATATGACTGAGTCAGACCCAGACATAGGTAAGGTATAGTCATGCCCTTATTAATTTTAGCTATTTGTTATTGAAGAAAATTGAAAAATTTACGATTGAATAATAATTATACATCGTTATTAGTCAGTCATTAATTATTATAGGCAATAATACGCAAGAAGATTAAATCAGATATGTAATTTTTAAGTAAAACTATAATATTGCTTCAAACATATCGCACCTTTAATCATAAAGTGGCAGAACTAAAAAATGCTAGTTTCGTAGAATCTGCCAAAAACTGTTTTATATTTGGAGCTGTCTTAGTAGATTTGAACTTTGAGAAAACTTACGAAGTATTATGAATAAATGAAATATGAGAAAAGGTTAAGCAATATTTTAAAGATGTATGTATGATTTAGTTTTTTTTTTAAAGAAAGGAAAAATGGTTTAACTGTAAGAAAAAAAATTCACAATTATGTCACTTTAGCAATAAAAAGATTATGTATCAATACGAAATGTGTCAATTTATGACTAAAAATTGCATAATGATTTTAGTATTATTTTGGAATAGTTCTTTTTTGGATTATATTAATAAAATATTTCAAGTAATAAAGCAAAAAATGCCTCTTTAGAAGCAAATTTGAAAAGAATGCTATTTCAAACTCTGTCACTATTGGCACACAACTAACATTATGTCGCTTTAGGTCTAAAACACCTTACAAAATCCGATAGAACTAAACTGGCGCAAATATAAATCTGCACTGGCTGACTATTTCAACGTAGGTCGGAGTTACCTCAATAGATGGTACTATTTTAGATCGTTTTATTACCAAAACTCAAAATTTTGATTTATGCCACTTTATGATTAAAGGTGCGATATTATGTCATAGGGGGCTATTTGTATACCAGGGAGGCTTAGCCTCTCTTAGCTACGCCAATGAAGAGGCCACCGTTGTCTACGAACCGTGTGTTTTGTAAAATATTTTTGCCAAATCGTTTCCGATTAATGAAAATTTGCGAGGCAATATGGCCAGTCGCAAACGACTTGTTTTGAGCAATCTATTTGCTGCGTTTGAGAATCCACATCGGATGCATTTTTTACATCTCGAGCGTTTTTTTATTCACATCGGACACATCTGTCCCATTACATTTACGTATACTGAATCACGTGATCAAAGATTTTTTACATCTCAGATGCATCCGATGTGGATTCTCAAACGCAGCAAAAATACGTATCATTGACCCTGTCAATGACAACAGGCCCACAGGGTTGCCACATCTAAACTGTCAGTTCCCACTTGTCAGTATTTTGACAGGTCATTGGAATGCCTAATTAATACTCCGTCCAATGCTATAATTTAATATAAAATAATTTTACAAATTTGATGCTTGATTATTTTCATGAAAAATAATTTTTTTGTTAAATGTAAGGTAAACTTTTAACTATTTGTATAAAAATTTTTGGGACACTAATATATTTTTCCTACGACCACTTAGGAAAGTGGCACATATCACACTATACCGGGTGTTCAAATTAAAGCGGTACAGCTATATACCGCTTTTTATAAAAAAAAAAACGATTCAGACGAAAGTTTTAAAGTTTTGTGGGGAAAAACTTTTGGCTAAAATCGTTTTTTATAGCTAACCATAATATGGCCAACTTGTTTTTCGCGCAGCAACATTTTCAAGTAGCTGTTACTCAAAAAGTAAAAGTCCAAAAAAAAAAAATATTTCCCTCAAAAGTTTCTTATTTTTTATGTACTTTAAGATTACGTAAGAAAAAAATGTGATTCCCATTTAAAAAAACAAAGTCCACCTCGATATGGCCATATTATGGTCAGCTATAAAAAAAATGAATTTAGCCAAAATGTTTCCCCCAAAAAACTATAAAACTTCTGTCTGAAACTTTTTTTTCTAAAATGCATATTTTCGGCGGTATTTAACTGTAACACTTCAATTTGAACACCCGGTATAGTCCTATGGAAAGTGCCCTATATCACACGCGTATGAATAAAAATTTACTTTCGTGTAGGAATATGCTACTTTCCGCAGTAGTTGTCACAAAATGTCAAACATATCATTTCTATTTTGATCTATGTAATGTCCATATTAATACTAAAATCGATGATTGGTTAAATTATTAAAATTGTTGTAAATTAGATCCTAGATATTTATCTTTAACAATTATTAATAAAATAATTTTAAAATAACTAAGATATATTTGCTTTTTATTCTGGTTAAATACAAGCGATCAGATCAATCAATTACCGTAAGGCCTGTTAGCTCAGTTGATTAGAGCGTCAACTTTGCAATTTGAGATCGTCGAGCGACCGCGTTCAAATCCTGGCTGTGCCAGATTTTTTAATTTTTTTTTTTTTTATTTTTTTTAAATACATTTTAATTATTATAATAATAACCTGGTTTTACATTTTTTGATGAAATTATTTTGTGGTCGTAGGAAAAATATTGTACATTACTTGTGTGAAAAGTGATTTTCCACACTCGTAATGTAATATACTATTTTTTGTTTGGGCACAGTTTATCAAAATTAATCATTTATGTTATCATATTTAAAGCCCCTTATAATCGCTTTGCATGAAATGTGCAGATCAAATTATAAACGTACTCACATTTAATGTATCTGCCCGCTTGGAAACGAGTTATTAATTCCTTTCGAAAAGTGAAAGACACCGAATTGTTGCCCTTTGGAAAACAATTAAATTTTTTTTTTCTTTTTTAAAAAGGTATTTTATTTGTAACAAGATAAAATACTCAAATGCACTTATATAACTCTTTTAATAAATTATATACAAAAATACACAAACATATATATTAATAATTATAAAGTATTATGCGGGTAAAAGATCAAAATCGTCAGACACGTGGACCATGGGCACGTGAGTTTCATCTATTTTTGGAGTAGATTTTCTATCACACAGATTTAATTCTTTCAGTTTCCACTCCCAGTCCATTTTTTGCACAGCGTGAAGAGACTCTGCTTCATTGTGGTGCCTCAAGAGCATGTGCTCTTTAATTTTTTCCCATTTATCATCTACATCTTGTAACCAACTCAAAAACAGACGACCTAAACAAATAAACAAAGTACATTTTTAAAATCATAAACTAATAATGTCTGAAATAGACAGCAATTACAAAAATGCAAATTTACCGTTATATCGTGACCTGGCATTTCTATCCTTTTCTTCTTGTTCGGGTGTAATGAGATTGTATACTTCTTCGTCTCTTAAAATGGTGCAGACAGAAAACGGTAGAGATTGGTTGGCTAAAGCCCTTGCAGCCCTGCCATGTACCCTCAAAATTTCTTGTTCCACAGACAGTACCAGTTTTTCTTTTTCAATCACATGCTGAAAAATAGTTATTTAGTAACAAGATATATACATACGTGTAACTTTTTTGCTTGAGGATGCAAGCATTTAATAATAAAAAAAAAACACTAAACGCCAAGTTGTTAGGACTGTTTGTTTATGTGCCACCAGCAAAGGTTTAAATTTATTAAGAGCAAACCAAACAGCTTGAACATTTTTAATTCCTTCTGAGTTTTAATTTTCAATTTGATTCTTGTAAAATTTTCAGAAAATAACAAAACTTAGGGCGGAGAAACCTCACAGATATAGTTAGATATGCAATACGTTAAAAAAGTCCTGGAAATACCCCAAAGACATTACAACTAAGAGACCAAATTGTTTACATTTTTATGTGGCAAATCATTATTCCCACCAGATTCTCGTTTATTGCGTCTTTGCCGATTTTATCAGTCTGTCAAAATTATTTGGAGAAATTACTTTCGAAAAATAAAATTTGATGTGTCCTGTAACTATAATTTTATATTATATAAATAAAAATATGTTTTTAATCAAATTATTCTTTGAAGTTTTAATTTAAGCTAAATTTTTTATTAAAAGTTCAATATTAATCTAAACAAAATATTAGGGTTTCGAAGAACTCCGTAAATACGCAACGCTGAATATCTTATTTTACGAATTTACAATTTTTATGAATGAAATGTAGTACCGTAACCAGCCGCAACGTTGCCAATCAGGTCTAACAGCTATTTTGTATTTCTGACAGTATCTGACAGGTTCTGTGTAATTTATTGATTTATTTATTTATAAAATACTATTTTTGTGAACTTTTGTGAGAAATATAAAGAATTATGGTACATGCATGTGTAGTGTTCAAATAGGTAGATCATTTAAGTCGAAATGTATGGTTTCATCGGTAAGTACATTTAGGTTAAGATATGTTGTTTTCATTTGAACCAGTGGAGTAGGGCTTGTACAAGATTTGATACAATTTCTTATAGAATTTAAAATATATAGGATCACATAGTAAATTGTTTGAAAAATTATTATCCAATCTAATTTTTCAGACAATTTACTGCAGGTTTGATAATATACAATTTAAATTGTACAAGAAATTGTATCAAAAACTTGTGTAGTCTAAAACAGTCTTAAAACAGTTTTTAAAGTGATATTCCTTTTATAAATTAGTAAATTATACCAATAAATAATTATTGAATAGTGGCAAAGAAAATTTAACGTAAAATGTAGAATATCTTAAAAATGATTTACCTATTGAGCACCTATACATATTTTTTATTACTCTATTTAGGTTTCCGCAAGATCCTGAGAAAAGAAAATTTTGGTTTTCTCTAATAGGAATTCTTGAAAATCAGCCCCTTCATAAAAACCCAGAGTTGTGTTTAGAACACTGTTTTCCTGAAAATGTTTTGGTACGTGCAAATGGTACTAGATATATTAGAAAAGATGCAAACTCCAGACGGTGTGAGGGCTTTCTATTTTTGGATGACTTATCCAACAGGTAAAAATACGAAATATTAATTTTTACGTACGATTTCACTGATGCCATCCTACATCGTACAGAGAGTTAAAAAATCGTATAAATACAATTTTAATCATACGGTTGGCAACACTGAGACAAACAGTAGACGTGGACAGTAGTGAACAGTTTGTAAATATAAATGTCAGTTAGTTTTATGTATATCGAAAAATCCTGAATTTAAATTTTAAATTTTTAGTTCATGATTGTGTTATCTTCTAGAGTAACTAAGCGAAATAGTTGTGACTGTTTTTGTGTGAAATTTGAGGACAATAATGATATTTTGTAATATTACAATAAGTCGGAGAACGTATTGCATTAGTAACACATGCCACTGAATAAATTTAACAACCCCAATGTGGCGTTCTTTAATTAACCAAAGTAAGATCTAGTCATGTAAGTAACACAAATAGTAACCAACTTTTGTCACAAAGTAGGTATTTATGTATTATTTATTGTTTTAGAACAAGAAAATGGCTGCTTCAAAACGTTAGAAAGAAGATTTGATATAGGAAGAAAAATATCTGAATTCCCATTATTGAGTTTGCACTCAACATTTTTAAATAAGATACCAATGGCCATCCGTTTGGAAAATAAAAACAAAAATGTAATGTTACAAATAACGATCAAAAATTAAAAAATATTTGTCATGAATATAGATTTAAAATAATCGATAATAGACTGTAAGTGTAGTATTCTTTTTAATAAATAATTTAGCGTAATTACACTGTTTAAATTTATTTACAAGAACACATGAGAGTGCAGTCGATATTTATACAACCTTTATTATCAGGTTTTTAAATTTCTCGCTGCGTTGTTTAATATCGATGAAAGCGCGACATAGTGGGTCAGATGTTAACTGCATTAAAGCTGATCGTTGTTAAGCATTGGCTTCTTAGGAGCGTTTCCTATCTTTATCTCCCTTATCTATGTAGATTATTAGGTATTGGTCATGTGGCAGTTATAAAAATAATTTTGAATTTTTCAATTTATTAAAAATTTGAAATATTTCACAGAACACTATCTATATACTTAGTGAAGCAACAAATTCTTATACAGAGTATGTGAAAATAATGTTTAAAAAAGTAAGCCAAAGTAAAACAAGGTCAATTCTTTAATGGGTCGATTCTGAGATAATTTATAAGATCTGTAAGCCAAAAATCTGTAAAAAATTACATTATATTACTATATTTTACTAATTCTGTAGCTTATAGGATAATTCCCAGAATCCTACCATAAGTAATTTGAGGCCAGTTATAAGATGTACGAAGGTGCGCAACATGTAACAATGAAATCGTTACATAAACGATTTTCGGAAGAAATGCCTGAAGTGAAATGTTTTGCAAGGTCAATTAATACATGGATTAGAAAAACTGGCTTTCGCTTTAAAAGAAGTAACAACAGACAGTTTTTATTGGAACGAACATCGATTCAGTTAAAAAAAATGTCGTTTCTGAAAAATTCTAAGAAGATGGAGCTGGTGTAACTTTAAGCCTGTATTTATGGATAAGACGTGGGTATATAGCAAAGGAAGTGACAGAAAAAGATGGAACAATAGCTACTGCAATTAAAAAAAAAAAAAAAAACAGGAGATGGAATTCGATACATTATTGTCCAATGAAGAAGGGTTTATAAAAAATGCATACCTCATATTTAAAAGTCAAACAAAGAGCGGAGATTAATAATATGAACACAGAAAATTTTGAAAAAGAAGAAATTTATACCTAGTCTGGAACATCATTCTTTGATTATAATCAATAATGCCAGTTATCATTTGCGGTACGTGGAACCAATTCCATGTTATTGTTGGACAAAAGATAAAATGGTTGCAGGAAAAGAACACTAATTATCCAATCAATGGTATGAAATATCAGATTTGGGAAGTTGTTCGTCAAAATCTACCACGAAAAGATAGATAGATATTATGAGGAATATGGACATAAAATATTAAGAACTCCTCCATATCACTGCCAGTACAAACGGTTTTATGACGAAAAAATTTTAACAACAAAGTCGTCACCAAAAGATGTATTTCAGACTTGGTCAGAAGCTTTGAATATTGTTATTATTACAGATATTCAGTGGGACAATTATGTAAGACACATTAAAAAAATAATTGTTTTCGATTGGGAAAAATACAAGCAATTAGATGTTTCTGATTTAGAACCAATTATTATTAATTTAGGTACAACGGCAAGTAGTGATGAGTCTGAATCAGAGTCCAGTTGTAAAGAAAATGATATTGATTTAAAAAATGTATATAATTTATCCAATAAATATTCTCTCTTGTTACATATTTTTTTTCTTTTTAAAGAATCTGTTTCACGAATTTGCACCGGTTTTGGATTATCTTTAAAAACGCTAAAAACCAATGTTCAGCTGAGAAATTTATTTCTTAAAATGCTCCGTATTCGAGAAATTGACAAAAAACGCAAAATTCGAATTGTTAAACTAAAAGTTGTTTGCGATATGAATCTCTACAATTTCCATATATATGATTTCTCTAAAATTTAAGTAAAAGTGTAAATTTTAATTTTTTTAGTATTTTCGTTAGCAATGAATATATACAGGGCATCCCATTAGTGGGTAATTGTTCAATATTTCAATTTGTGTTATAGACATGCAAACAAGTTTCAAATAAAATTTAACTTCAAAATATTTTTGGATATACAGGGTGTGATTTCAAAATTGTTTAAAATACAGACTCATAAGATACTAAGCTAACATGTTTTAAATATGACTAATTTTTAGTTCAATTTACTCAATTTTTTCAAATGCAACATCATGTATATTATTTTAGAATAAAATTCCTTATAAATTTACCTATCCAACGATACCAATATGTTAACCACTAAGACATATACAGGGTGTCCCATCAGTGCTCAATTGATCCCTAGCCGTTTTATTATTGGAAATACGAAAAACAAAATTAATATAAAAGTTCTATGACCATATTAAAACAATTATTCTTAAATATCCAGGGTGGTCCATAAACGAGGGGCTGACCAAAATTATAACATTTTTAAAGCAAAACATCCTGTAAGTAGTTATACATATTTGATTGTTTTCACATTGTCAAACAATTTTAATAGGCTTCACTCATTTGCCATGTTGTATATAGCAGGGTGGCCAACTTTTCTATATATAAGATCTACTTTTTATATTAAAGGTCGCGATCGACTTGTTGTCATAAGGAAGAAGAAGAAGTGGGGGTGTGAAATGTATCCTATGTTTATATACTTGCAGTATAAGGTAGGGTTGGGACCTTGTTGAAATATGAATAAAGGTACGGTTGCTTAAAAAACTGATTAATTTTGACTTAAAAAAAAAAAAAAATTAAAACGCAATATCATTTTTCTATTGATTGCAATGATAAGTTGAAATATGGAATTTTTTTTATAAAAATGTACAGTATGGCTGATAATTTTAAGTTTTGTCTTCTACAATCGCTTCTAAATCCATGGTAAACGGAATTCCATCCCAGACATTGCAAGCGATCGATGAT